CACTTCAATTATGAGACTACAGTGTTTCCCATACATTGAGTGCGGGTGTTTTTATATCACTGTATTTCTGAAGGAAATGTAATGTCTGATAAAGCAGTATTTTTTTGAGCTGAGCGCTGCTTTGTGTACAGCCGTTACTGGGGAAACCTTGATCTCTACCACTCCAACAGCGCCTCCTGCTGGCAGAGAATGAGTTTGCATATATATGCCGCCTGGGAAACACTGGACTATGGTATAAATAAATTCAACTGTATAACAGTTTCACTGCAATTCATGTTATAATGTTAGAGTTACATAACAATAAAAATAATACATATGCACTTATCTGTACATAGTAAATGCAGTTATTTTTAAGTGGTTGTTGACATCCTATCTAAAACGTGATTTAGCAAAAAAAAAAACAATAACGTTACCACTGTAATAGGTCTTGCAATATCTGTGCGTGCAAAGGTTCTGCGCGATCCTCTTGTTCAATATTTTCTGGGTCTGAATCCGGCTCAAATTGATATGGCAATATTGACGCCATCCTTAACTAAGCCGGAGCAGACAGAACTTGCTGTTTTGGCAAGGGGCGTGGCAGTACTGAAACACCGTCTAAGCTGTTCGCCAATCACAACGCACTGGGACAGCTAACCAATTACATCACATTTCGTTTTTTGGAAGGCGGGCCTTCATCAAACCCGGAACTAACCGAGCCGTTTGTGCCAGGCTGGGGAGAAAGGTATTGTAATAATGTAAATTATGTAAAAAATAATGCGTATTTCGAACCACCAAGCATGAGAGCATGTTCTAGTACACCCCCAAAACAAATTCAAGACATCGTAAAAGAGCATAATAGGACCCCTTTAAATAAAACCTCAATGTCATTGGTGTTCTGTTTCTTAATTCTACCAGTTTAAAAGTGTTAGTTTTTACTGGTGTTCCCATAAAGTACACTTGAATAATTGACTGAAATTAGAGTGTGTATACAGTAAAAGCGAGGGGGAGAGAGACAGAATAATCAGGTAGTGATTCTAGTGAAACAGTAATTTGTCATGCCCCGTATTTGAGACCTACGCCACCCATGTGCCTGTCTTAACTACATCCCTTACATAAACAACATTACCGCAAATAGGCACACAGGAGGAAATGGAAGTCCTCTGGTCCAGATGATATCATTACACTGAGTGTTCACTGTCAATTAACATCATGTTTATAAAGAACCTTGTTATGTAACTCGACACATCTTGATTGTTATTTTGATGTTGATGTGCATTCAGACAAGCTATCAGGGCTTGTCACTTTTGGTTTGCCAGCTACTGTGTGCAGGTTTAAAACATATATTGTTCTATTCATCTTATTTTTGAGTATTTTGGTCTAACAGTGTTTCGCTGTATTTCTTTGTCTTGTATTTTAATCAACACAAAACCAGAAATGAGTTCCTCCTACATTATACACAATAGTTAGGTCCGATCCTTGAAATTAATTGGCCAAACAGCGTTTTAAGAGCTCTTAAATTATTATTTTTGTTTTAATAAAGCAGGGTTTACAAGTGTGCAGAGAGCGGGAAATGGAAGAGTGATTACAGAACGCTTTGAGTGGGGAGAGAAAATCACAAACTATTCCAGACTGGCTTTTGAAATGCACATGCTTGATGCTTTTGCCTTCTTTTGGAACTATTTTGTTTATAAATAAGAAACATACAAACTAACTTGCCTATTTTGCCTGTAATGTTGCTCAATATCTTCTACTTTATTGATGGTTGTATAAATTCAATATTACAATCACAATCATGTCATTGTTCTGACTATCATATGTGCAGCATATTCATATTAAAATGAGTTAATTTGACAGTCCTAATATTTTTAGAATTTAATAAGCCATTTTCTGTATTATAGATTTAATAAAGAAATTCTTCCCTAAACCCAGCTACTAGAAATATTTCTTAGGTTGAGTGTAGCAAGGTTGAAAATCACTGCACTAAGACATGCACGCACGCACGCACGCGCACGCGTCAAGCATCACAACATCCGCAGGTGAAAGAAATACTTGTTATTGTTTGTATGATGCTCTCATTTCTGGTCTTTGTATGTAACAAACCAAGTGCTCATGCTGACAGACACAAAGCTAATATAGTTCAGACCTCGTCTTAGTGCATTAGCTCGTGGATGGTTAAAATAGCCGTTCCAAAGCCCACTTAGCGGCGCAGAAGTGACGCACTGAGTCTAATTGATTGGTGACTGTCTTCCGTAAAATACTGAATTAATACAAAACGGAACTCTAAATACAGATTTACTGAAGGCGTATTTTGGGCTTTATACAGGCCAAATGAAATCCCATGCTGCTTCTTACTAAACATTCAGCATCTTACCGTAAAAATAGCCTAAGACACACGCTCTCAAACAACACATACAGACCCAAATTACAAAAACCGAGTAAGCTGCCTACCTAGTCAGCATCAATTCAAGCGCGTTTTCGATGCCCAAAAACGCGTTCTAGGTAGACAGCTCTCTAGATTAAGGGAATGAGCAACTATTATGAAGGAAAGCAGCACTCACATCTCTGAATTTGTCCCATCTCCCGGTCAACCATTTGTCGTCCAAAAAATTGCCGTTGTCGTTGCGGGCAGAAGCTCCGGCGATCAGCAGCGCGCACACACCGACCAGCACAAGCATCTGCATCGAGACAGAGAGAGAAATCAACACCCTGATAAACACGACAGCGACATGAAACGCCGCAGAACCGCTCCAGTAATCCCTTATGCGTCACCTTCAAGAGGAGAATGTGAGCGCTGTCATTGACTGAAGAGCTCCGTGCTAAGACTCAACTGATCTTCACCAACCAACCTCTCTCTCTCTCTCTCTCTTCTCTCTCTCTCTCTCTCTCTCTCCAGATAAAGCGTACAGGGGGCGTGCGCTGTCTTTCCATTTAACATGGAGTCTAATTATTTTTTTTCTGTATGGGTCATACGTACATCTGAATGACAACTATTACAAATGTAAATGGTCAAATAAATAGATAAATAAATATTCAACTTAAATTAACATATTAAACTAGTACATACGTGCCCAAACTTCTTACCAAGGTCCACAAATCAAACTCTCATGAGGACTGTAATAAATAAATAATCAATAATGTAAAAATGTGGGTGAAAAAGAAAAAAATATATATATTAGAAATGAAGATATTTAATTTTTGAAAGTCAGTTCACATATAGGCTACTGTTTAAACCTATACTTTAGAAGTCTTTAAAAGTCCAAAGAAAGGCTACAAAAATTGACCCTGTACACCTTTATTAGCAAGGACAAAAAAAAATCTTGTGTGTGATTTTGTGGATATTTTTGATTATTTGGTCTATTACAGCAGCTCATGAACTGAAAGGGGACGAATTCTTAAAATCAGACATGTTTAACTTAAGCTTTCCAGACATGCATTACTATGCAGACAGTTTTTTTTTTTTTTTACAATTTTTTTTTTTTTTACAAATTGAAGGATGAGCACTTTAATTATTGTCTGTGGTAGGGCCTAATCATCAGCATGCCATATATGCTGTCGATTACCACAGACAATAATAGTAGCTTAAGCTGTTTTGAACCCAAAACATTCCTTTAATGGCTTGAGGCACAATTGAGCTCAAAGTACATAAACTGGCACCCCAACTACAAACAGTAGCAGGGATCGCATGAGCTCATGAAAAAAAAAGTCACTTTAGATGAAAGTGACTGCAAGATGCATGTATAAATGTTTCCCTGTTAGAGTCACTAATATCTTTTGCCATTGTTTTTATGCTCTCACACCTTGGCATGCTCATCCTGAGGTATATTAGCTCCAGCTCCACCCCTGGCATTGTTCACCCACACCTGTGCCCCGTCTGCCATTACAGTATCTCACTCAGCACTTGCAAAACCCAAATTCTTACTTACTCTGTGTGTTTTTGGAGCAACGTTTTACAGCTTTACATTTTCTTCAGATGTACCTAATCCCGTAAAGAGATATAATCCCGTAAAGAAAAAGTAGTAAATAATTTTTGTAAAGAAAATTTACTCTTTGTTGGTATCTAGTTAGAATTCCTCTTATGGATCCTAAATCGATCTAAAAGACCTACAGACCTTCACACAGCATACAGTTCAACATTTTCATAAATCAGCATACAAGTTTTAGTATTACAATAAGCCTTGAGTCATAAGTCTGACTATACGTACATTCACACTCGTCAAACAATTTTCCTCTATCTCTTGTCAGTTTCAGTGCTTAGGCCTGTTTCACACGTACAGCGTCTGTCGTGTGACCAGCGCATATTCATTTCTTCACCCATATTAACAGGTTACAGCATTCCCACTGTGCGCGTGAGCAGCGTTGCTCCTCAGAAGCCTCCCTTGCATGCCACTGAACACAGACTTTCTTGCTGAGCCTGTTTTTGCTGTGTGTCACACTGAATTCAGCGGGAAAAACATAAACTTTAAAGCTATTTATTAACACTTTTGCAGGCTTTTATGAAGAAACATAAAATAGTAGCACAAACTACTCACCCACGGTATGAAAAAAAGGCTGGTTTTAAGCAGTTTTTAAACCTCATACTGGGGTTGGGTTCAGTAATTATCATTTGAGTGTAAATGTGATATTGAAGTTTTTGCCAGTAAGTTCTACAAATAGCTCTAAATGGACAACTCTTCATCTTTTTTTTTTGTAAATATAATGTATGACATATAGAAATAATAACCTGCACTAAGAAAAACAAATGTAGAAAAACAGATAATGTCCTGACAGAAAATTACTAGTACAACAAGTTTACGGACATTTTCTTCAATCCTAAAACACAACACAAACAATGCAGTGTGTAATTTTAATAAATGTAAAACACCTGTGAACAATCAACACAGAAAAATTCCTTCATATTCACATGGTACACCATGGCTGAAATGTTTTTCTGTTATCCTGCCACTTTTACACTGTTTGTGTTTGCATTGTGAAACAGGCCTTAAAGGATTTGTTGACCCAAAAGTAAAAATTTTGGATTATTGTGATGTTTTTATCAGCTGCTTGTACTGTCATGCTGATGGCACCCATTCATTGCAGAGGATTCATTGGTGAGGAAGTGATGTAATGCTAAATTTATCCAAATCTGTTCTGATGATTAAAATAAAATAAAATAACACAAAAGAAGATTTTAAAGAATGTTGGTTTTGGTGACCATTGACTTCCATCGTATGGACAAATAAACACAGAGGCATTTCTCAAAATATCTTTTTTTTATGTTCCACTGCAGAAAGAAAGGCAGTGTAAATAGTATTTTCTGGACTTGAGGCGAGTTTATTGGTTTAGTAAAAATGAATAAGTAATGGTGGACAAAGAAAGTACTGCAGCATGTAAGAAATTAAGGAGTCTGGGGCACATCTAACTAAGACCAATAAAATATTTAAAGCAGAAAAAATGGTCTAAGAGCTAGTGGGTCACCTGAATCCATAAGGGAGAATGATGTGGGAATAAGATTTAATGTGTGAAGGAACTATATTTCTTAGAGAAGAAAAAAAACAAAGGCCCGGTTTAGCACCCTCTGCTGTTTGAAAGAGAGGTCAAAAACTCTAGATAATGACTTGGCATGTTTTTTTATTTTTATTTTTTATTATATTTATTATATTTTTATTGAGTGACAGAGGTATAATGGGGCAATAATGAATTGTGTTATATCAGTGGGCCAAAATACTTGCAGGAAAACATAAAGTAATTCAAGTGCATTGCTGTTTTGCACAAACACATACACACTCTGGACAAAAGACAAGTGTTCTGGTCATAGTGTGTTCTGTATTATTTAAAGCATGATTAAAAATGCAGGACTGGGCTTGAGATGTAGCAAATAGTGATTTTCTTCTGCTCTCTCTCTCTCTCTCTCTCTCACACACACACACACACACACACACACACACACACACCTCTGCTTTCACTCTCTCTTACCACCTATACAGTGTGCTAGCAGGTGGGAAAGGGGAGGTACATTTTCTCAGGTTTTTTTATTTTATTTTATTTGTATGTTTTCAGGGGAAGTGACTGATTTCATATCAGTTTATTTTTTGTGCAGAATTTGACCTCTTTCGCTTGCCTTTAAAAATATGCGATTAAAAAAACAAAAACGTGTAAATGTATGCATACCTATATTTTCTTTAAAAGGGATCTGAAAGTGTGAACAGATGGCTCAGCAGACGAATCAAAAGAGGAAGTCTGCAAACAACAGACCCCCACAAAACTTATCCTCACAGTACTTGGAGTGGTTTGCAATTTGTACAACGTTTTGTTATTAAAGAAATAGTTCACTCAACAATGAAAATTTGCTAAAATTTACTCACCCTCAAGATGAAGATGAGTTTGCTTCTTCATTGGACCATGACTTGGAGAAATGTAGCATTACATCACTTGCTCACCAATGGATTGCAGTAAATGGGAGCCATCAAATGAGAATGCAAAAAAACTGATAAAAGCATGATAATTCACAAGTTACCCACAAGACTCCAGTCCATCAATTAACATCTTGTGAGTGAAATCCGTTTTAAATTTTAACCATTGGCTGAAATATTAAACCATATTCCATTATAACGCTTCCTCCAGTGAAATAGTCCATCCCCTGTTGATCTCTATCAAAATGTACCAATATTTGTTTAGAATGGTTTTGGACTGTTTTCAGTTGTAAATGGTGCTTGATCTGGGCATATTTTGTATTCCTGATTCAGACGACTTTCACTGCAGAACGCAACATAATGGATAAACGACTTTATTTTAGCCTGAAGCAAAAAACATCTTAATTTGTTTATAACAAACACACAGCTTTTTTGCTTCAGAAGATGTTAACTGATGGACTGGAGTCGTGTGGATTACTTGTGGATTATTGAGATACTTCTATTAGCTCTTTGGACTCATTCTGACGGCACCCATTCACTGTAGAAGATTGATTGGAGAGCAAGTGATGTAATACTAAATATCTCCAAATCTGTTTTGATGAAAAAACAAACTCATCTACATCTTGGATGGCCTGAGGGTAAGTACATTTTCATTTTGGGGGAACTATTCCTTTAAAATGACCAAATTTTGACTTTGGTATGTAAATTTGAAAATATGTCATCAAGTAATTATTACAATATTCACATTATTGAAATACAAAACTATAAAATGCAATTGCACAAATAACATTCAATCACTTGTACTTGTAAAAAGTGAAGAGTGTCTTTGTATGTAGCCTGAGTCTGAATGTGATCTATGTCTGATTTACCTCCATGGGAAAAATGAAAAAAATGAAAGGGGAAAAAAAACACACGAACATTTACAGTGATGGCAAAATCCCTCTTTTCAGTTCTGACATGCTAGGCTTCTTTCAGATCATTGTTAATTGAAAAGCATTTTTGTCTTGGCATTTCTGCAGCCAGCAGCTATCGCTGTTGTTATGGCAACTATTTACAAGTTAATTTGCTGAGAGATGTTTTGGAATGAAAGTATCAGCAACTTGCAATGGCAAAGAAACAACGTCCTTCCCACTGTAATTCTAGTGAGAACACAAACATCACCAGAGATAGTAGCTAGAAGGACATTGAGGATTTTAGCCAACAACTAGAACTGGGACATATTAACATTTTAATTGACTGGACACACTTTGTCAAACTGGGACACCTGGGACTGGGACATATGAAAATCTATA